GCACCATGTGGACCAGTGCACAAGACCACAGGGCTGCAGTCACAAGCTTATCTGGGGCATCTTTGGTGTTTAACAAGCCTCCCTGAGGAGATCCTCATGAGTGAGAGGCTCTGGCTTGTGTCTGGGGAGGTGTTGGCAGGTGCAGAGAAATGTTCGCCATTTCTTACAAGACAGGGAGGTTTGAATTACTGTGAAGTGGGGAAGTACCCTTCTGATATTCACTCAGGAACATCTGAGCACAGCCACCGAGGCTGAGTCTGGGCTCCACCAAGAGAAGAACAGCTGGATAAGACCACCAACTCCAGCATTTGCCAAAAACACTGAGAATTGGAAAGCAGTGAGAAGAGAAAATGTGGGCGTGAAAGTATCACACACTACATAATTTGGAGGCATGTGTTCACGGGGAAGTGCATGCCATGGTCATCTGAAGGCCCTTCTCAGTCTCCCTGTGGAGGCTGGCTAAGCCCCTGACTGCACAGCTGTCCAGACCCTACAAGAAATTTCCCCTTACTGAATCCAGTGTTTGCACATCAGCTGTACCTAAGATCAAAGAGGAGAACCGAGCTAAGATTTCTAACCTTTAAAACAAAATCCGGATGTTTTACCTAGTGTGGCCTCCACTTCAGGTTTCTTATGATGTGTAACTCTTTATTTTGACCTTTGCCTAGGTTTTCAACCCAATTACCTTCAGAAACTCTTTACCGAAACTTCCAGCAGCCCCTGCCTGAAGGCACCTGCTTTTCATTACAGTTTAATTGATCAGAGAATACACAAAAACTTTAATAATTCTACAAGTTTAAAAATTATAATCCACTTGCCTTGAACAACTGTTCTTTCATCCATTGCCTTTTAAATGCACATGTAGTTTCACATCGCTGCAATCTTAGTTTGCACAGTTTACACTCTTTATTTTTCCTAAACATTTGTCTGTGATACTACTGGGTCTCGAAATATTTGTTTTATTGACTACATAATAATCTATTGTGTAAATGGATGACAATTTATTCAAAATATCCTTCTTGTGTCATTTAGACTGTTCCCATTTCTTTTCTGCTTTCTGTTATGAAAACGATGCCACAGTGAACATCTTTGTACATATTGAATTTTGGTTTGGAGGACTTTTTCTCTTAGGATAAATTCCAAGGAGTAGAACTGCTGGATCAAAGCCATGTGTATCTTGATGATTCTTATTATATATAAAATGTCCAAAACTTATTGAATCAGCAATGAATTCTCCAGGTTCAGTGCAACCCCATCAGCTTTGAGCGTCATCACTTAAAATTTTTTAAGAATCAAAATGGCATTTTCCAAACTTAAATACATTTTCTAAAGAAGGCTCCCCAATTCTAGATGCTTATCCTTATTTCAGCTTTGCAACATTCATTAACATTCTAAATTGGTGAGTGTAAAACTATGCTTGCTAACAGGGAGAGGTAGCCATTACATATTACCTAATAAAAGTGGAAGTTGCATATATATATTTACTTGGAGCTGGCCAGCCAAGACTGGGGGCAAAAGGGCTCCTCTCCCTCTGCCTCCAGGAATTGTGAGAAAAGAGACAGTGGCTATGAAGAGAAACAGTCACAGCTGTGAACTCCCAGATCCCCCCCATCCAGGCTTTGCCCAGAGTTAGGGGGTTTGGAGGTCTGTTTGATAAACTGGGGGACTCCAAGAGGACGAACCCTCTCTGCCAGGTGCCTTCTTACCCACACAGGGTGGGCAGCACTGTTAAGTGAGTGATGAGGCAGAAAAAAGATGGAGTTTATACTCTTGAGTGTCTCTCGGGATGGGCATATGCATGGCATAGGCATGAAGGCAAGGAGCAGCATGCCTGGTACCTGCCAGTTCAGAAGGGGGCCAGCCTGGGCCAGAAATGTGATGGACATGTGGCAGCAGCAGAGGGTTCTTTGTTCCAGTCAGAGCTGAGGGAAATCTGCCACCTGGGAGACATGCCCACCACAACCATGGCTCATGAGGCCATTAAATACAGATGCTGGCAAAGGGCTCAGGGCTGGGCCTAAGCCGCCCAACCCGGGCAGACGACAACCACAGGAATGGGACCGACGGGAGACAAAGGCACCCCCTTCCCATCCTGCCCACCCTCGAGTCATTATGCTGGCCCCTACCCTGTATCTCCACTGCCATCTCAGAAAGGACCAGTGAGGGGACAGAAACTGAAATTACAGGCTGGCAACATAAACAGGATGAGTAAAACCTAAAGTCATCATTCAAGTGAATGGGTCAGACTAACTTTAAGCCACTTTTGACTAAAATCTGTGAATCATTTTTCTTGCTACCCAGGAGGCAGGAAGCTGGGAACAGAGACCCAAATTGTTTTGGACACTAAAGAAACTTCATTTACATTGCACAGCTGAGTTGTACAGTAAGCAGTTTCAGCGAACCAGCTGAAGTAATATGATCTCATATTTTGCACAGCTTTTACCCATGTATGCTTATCTGCATAGAGAAATGCTAACAGGTCAACTCCACATGGTGAAACTTAGGGTGGCTTTTGCTTTAGTTTTTTTTTGCTTTCCTTTATGGTTGATGTCATTTATTTATTTACTATAACCATGTCATTTTTCCAAAATTCAAAATGCCATTTTTAGAACCTAATTCAAACCTCTTGGCTATTTCAGATCTAAATATTCATTTTGATTAGGGCTTCATAGACAGAAGAAAACCATATCAGTTTTCGTATCTCTGACCCCATGTAACTAGTAATCAAGGACTTGGCTCCTGGCTCTAGAGACCCTGCATGCTCCCCTGGGCTTTGTGTTCTAGAGCCCCCGGAAGATTCTACAATTCTATACTGGACAAGTTGCTTTTGGAAGTGACACATGAATTAAAGACACAGTCCTCAAGCTGAACAAAACTTCAGTGAATTTTTTTGGAAGTTAGACTTATGTTTAGATCAATCTGGGAGAAAAGGAAAGAAAACACAAAGAATTAACTATGAGTAGAGGCTACTTTGCTTCCAGAGCAAGCTGCTGTGTCCCTGTCTTGCATTAGACACTGAAGTGTAGAGGGACGTTCTGTGATTGTAAACACACAAGAGACAAAGTGATGGGTATTCCTTCTCTGCTGCTGTGGATTATGCCAATCGGAGTAAGAGTGCTGGTAAGATCATCCAACCCCATTTTTCACCTCAAAAGCCTGAATGTGTGTCCCTGACCAGTCATGTGAGCTACTGGGACAGAGCCATAAAAACAGATCAACAAGTTCTATCCAAGAGACTCTACTTTTCCCTAATTTCACAGTAAATGGCTTCTCATCATCTTTCCTTCATTTCTGCTCCCTACCAATTTTATAGCTTTTTTTAGCTTAAAATGTGATCTCATGTACACTCTCTCGTTTGATTCTTCCCATAACCTCAAGTGATGTCGTGATGCTTATTTTGGAGATGAGTAAATGTGACTCAGAGCTAAGGACTTGCCCACGTCCCCAGCTGGTGAGAGGATGGCTGGGAGTGGCCCCTGTGTCCCCATCTCTGCTCTCACTTTGACTACACAAGCCCCTGAGAGGGGCTGACCTTTGGGGTCCAATACTCTATTAAGAAGCCAGTTCCTTGCTGGCTCTAATTATTGCATCCCCAAAACCTACCTTGAGAAATGTGCTCTGACATGTAGTCATGGCCCCCACTCGTGCCCTCCTCACAGAAAGGAGAAAGATGGCAGGACTGCCGAGGATGGAAGGCAGGAGTTAGCTGCCCTTCAGGGAACTACTTCCTGGTCTGTTTTTCCTGCTTCTACAGTGAAATCTGTAATCTTAAGAAAAGCAGGCACTAGGCATCCTTGTCTAAAAACAATCAGATTTAATAGGAAATCCCATTGGCCTCCCCCTCCTGCTCAGCTCCTTTGCGAAAGAGAAGCCCTAAGGAGTTTGCTGTTGACACATGACCAGCTCATCTCAGCACCATCAGGAGCAGGAAGAGGGAAGAATCCTAGGTTAGTTCCACTTGTCACTGTAATTGTTATAATAGTCAATTATAGTAGCTAAGTCTTTAAAAATTAAACCTAAAAATCACTGCAGAGAATTGGACATAAATACCACAGGTCTAGCCTGAACATTTTTGTTTACTTGTAGAGGTTGTTTCTCCATCAGATGAAGGGTAGTCATTTGTAATAATAATCACTGTTATTATTATTATAAGCATTATTTTTTCAAACAGGTAAAACAATTTGGAAGTCATTTATAAACTGTTAAACATAAAATGCAAAATGCCTTAAAACACATTTTAAATAATTGTTATAATGCTATTGTTATCATGATCCAGCCTGTTTTTTTCCCCTATTTTGTCTTTCTTCCTTCAAATGCTCTCAGAAACCCACGTGCACATCCTTCACCACCATCCACAGTATCTGTTCCTTCCCATCACAGGGTCTTGCTGACGATCAGAACTTCCGACCTTTCGTTCCTCACACCTGCCCATTGCATCTCTGATACATCTTTTGAAATGCATGCTGAAGAACTTTAAATGTACGGGCTGTTCATCACATGTGGTTTTGTTGGGTGAATGAATAAATTAACTGGTGTGGTTACAAAGGGTGATCGTGCCTAATTGTTTTTCTCTCTTTCTGTCACAGAGGGCTAGAAAAATGGGGACCACCGTAGACTGGCCTGAGGCTGCGGCTGTGGGCACCACACCCTACGACTACGAGGAGGCAATGCCGTGTGAAAAAGTCAATGTCAAGGAGCTGGGGGCGCAGTTCCTGCCCCCGCTGTATTCCCTGGTGTTCGGGGCTGGGCTGCTGGGCAATGTGGTGGTGCTGGTGATCCTCACAAAATACAAGAGGCTCCGGATTGTGACCAACATCTACCTGTTTAATTTGGCGATTTCTGACTTGCTCTTTCTATTCACTCTGCCGTTCTGGATTCACTATGTGGCGTGGAATGAGTGGGTCTTTGGTCACCGCATGTGTAAGTTCCTCTCAGGGCTTTATTATCTGGGCTTGTACAGCGAGATCTTCTTCATCATCCTGCTGACGATAGACCGGTACCTGGCCATCGTCCACGCCGTGTTCGCCCTTCGAACCCGAACTATAACATTTGGCATGGCAACCAGCATCTTCACATGGGGCCTGGCAGGGCTAGCAGCCCTCCCGGAATTTATCTTCCACGAGTCCCAAGAGGATTTTGGAAAGCCTGTGTGTAGTCCTCTTTACCCAGAAAATGAAGAAAACACCTGGAAGCATTTCCTCGTGCTGCGAATGAATATCTTGGGTCTTGCCCTGCCTCTGCTAGTTATGGCTGTCTGCTACTCAGGAATCATCAAAACGCTGCTGAGATGTCCCAGTAAAAAGAAGTACAAGGCCATCCGGCTCATTTTTGTCATCATGGTGGTCTTTTTCATTTTCTGGACACCTTACAACCTGGTTCTCCTTCTCTCTGTTTTTCAAACGACCTTCTTTGAGACAGACTGTGAGAAGAGCAAGCAGCTGGACCTGGCCATGCTGGTGACGGAGGTGATCGCCTACTCGCACTGCTGCGTCAACCCCGTGATCTACGCCTTCGTCGGTGAGAAGTTCCAAAAACACCTTCGCCACTTTTTCTACAGGCATGTGGCCATCTACCTGGGCAAATACATCCCATTCCTTCCTAAGGAGAAACTGGAAAGAGCCAGCTCTATATCCCCATCGACAGGGGAGCAGGAACTTTCTATTGTATTTTAAGTCAGATGCAGAAAAAGTCCTTAAGAACAGGTGCTGGGCGGATGAAGCAAACGCATTGACCCCTCCACCACCCCTTTGAATTTCCAGCACAACACTGAAGCCCGTGAAGAGATTAAAATATACACACAATGATGGTAATATAGCTGTGTGCCCCAAAGTCATTACCAGAGGTCAATGGCTGGTCAGTTTACTTAGTGTCAAACATGAAAAGCAGAGTTTTGCTTGATTCTCTGTAGAGTTACATGTATTTTAGTGCACCTGAATGTTAGTATATGCAGCTGCAAACAGGTATATCTTTAAATATTCTAGATCGTAACTTCAGCCAGCTACTGCTTAAGGGAAACATTTCACAAAATACAATGAATCAGTTATAATGCTTCTTAATATGCCAGCCCTTTCCAAGCTTGATGAAAAGATTTTTTTTTTTTAGCTTATGGATATGTACTCTCAAGCAACCTCATGGCATATAACATCTGTTCTGAATATGCTTCATAGCGAATTTATTTCCTATTCACACCAAATGACCATATTTCCCATGAGGGACTTAAAAGAAGAAGAGCAATTTGGTATTTTTAGTGTAGAGAATAAAGGCGCTGCTCATAGAAATTCCTCAGAGCCCTGAAATGTGCAGACACTGTCCTCTTAAATGCTTGTCCAACAACTTTGCGTTAGGCAATACAGACAAGATGCACAGACATGGCTTTAGGTTAACTGGAGAAAGCAGAAATGTCTAAGACAAACACATTCCCTGCCCCCATGAAACCTTCCATCTAGCAGAGGATGTAAGATAGGAAAAAATAGCTGCAGTGCAAAGAGAAACACACTCACTGCTCTGCCTGGCCCAGGAAGGGAAAGACCATTTCCAGCTGGAAGACTTAATGGAGGAAGTAGCTTTTGAGAGGTTCTCTGAAGAAGGGGCAGGATTTGGAAAGTGAGAGGATTTGGAAGATGCATCTTAATCCAATGGAATCCTCAAAACAAAGGTGAGAAGGGAGGGCGTGAACATGCGTGGACAGCAGGGTGGGATGGCAGGCTGGGATGGGCCCGGAAGTTCAGGCAAAGCACCTCTTCGGGCTTTGTTGGGAAGGCAAGGGGAGCTACTGAAGGGTTTAGAGCAGGGAAGAAAAACAATCAGCATGGTGTGTTAGGAAGGTAAGTCTGGTAACACAGAGAGGACAGAAGAAGGCCCCAGAACTAGGCAGGGAGGGAAGTTAGAAGACAAGTGTAGGTGTGGAAGCAAGGGAAGATCCATGGCTGATGAGAGAGATGCCAGGACCTCCCAGAGAATAGTCTGGCCAAGAGGCACAGTGAGGCAAGAGCCAAAGCAGGAGTGATATATGGTTGATTGAGAAAAAAAAAATGAGCAAAAGAGAGTAAATCATAAGTTAATAAAAAAAGGAGATACCATTTTTCATCGAGGTTAGAGGCATTGGCCATCCCTTAAAGGATACGAGAGAAAGCAGTGACCTGTTTAACTTTAGAAAGGGATATGGGTGGAAAACAGGAGGAGTATGACCTTTCTTTGAATACCTTTTGTGCTTTTTGTATTTTGAACCATGGAAACATGCTACCTATTCAAAAAAATAAACCAAGGAAACATGCTTCCTAACACACCTTGTTGATTGTTTTCCTCCCCTTTAGAGTTACATAAAAAAAATAAAAGGCTATACTGCTCTTCATATGTGGAATCCATTTTACCAGCTTGAAAGACATTAGAAGCCCCTGTGTGAATTGACCCTGAAACCTGGTTCAATCATCTCTAGCCCTCCTGTAGCCAAAGAAGACTTGATCTTGCTGAAGTTTTGTAGCTGGAGGCTCAAAGTTAACAAAATAGATTCTAAGAAAGCAGGGACGGGACACAGTGGGCAGTTTCCATAGCATCCCTCCTATTGGCCATGTAGTTCCCACTGCCTACTACGGTGGACTCAAGTTCCATATGTCCATTCCTCCATCTGGTCACTTATTCATTCATTCAGTAAACAGTTGCTGAGCACCCACCATGTTCTCAGCTAAGTCCTAGGTAAACAAAATCAGGCCCACTATGGGCCCTGCCCTCGGGCTGGATTGCACACTGCTCTTGTCCTACCTTTGCCAAAGGTCAAAAGCATGTCTTAAAAAATTCAACCCAAATGAGAGAAACATTCATTTTATGACCAGAAAACATTCCACTTCCTAATCAAAAGCTTGGAGAAGGGATGTGCCTGCTCTCGCCCATCCATTCTATCCGGCCCCCACTGGTGGAGAGCGGCTTCATCTTTTCTTGCCTTTACATCTGTCTGAAATCTCTTAATCCTACCCTGCATGGGCAGCACAGGATGTGAACTTTGGAAGGCTAAACCACACGACATGAATCTCAATTTGGCTAGGAAACTTTGAAGTACTTTTTCTCTTTTTTGTGGTTCAGCCAAAATGTAAATAAAGCAATCGTTTGAAAACCTGACTATACATCACTGGTTCTCTCTTGCGATGTGAAGTAGTGTCTGCCCTTAGGTAACCACAAGTGCAGGATATTGGTGCTAGTTCATACTCCCCAGATTCCTGAAAGCTTTTAGGAGCTTCGTGACCCATACAAACTGCACGTAACCAGACCGTGGAGTCGGTGCGCTCCATTTTGCTCCCTAGCCCCACTCTGTCCAATAGAACTAACTACAAAGATAGAAATGATCTGTGTCTGCATTGTACAATATGGTCACACTAGCCACATGCCACTATAGAGCACTTGGAATGTGGCCTGTGTGACCAAGGAACTGAATTTTTAATTTTTATCCAGGTTTAATTTAAATAGCCGCATGTAGCTAGTGGCTACTACATGTGGTGAGCAGTGTGGCATGAGCCCCTCCAAAGTTGCCTCTTCACATCTGTTCTATCTACAGCTCAGGCTCCCTGTAGTCAGCAAACACGTCTTCCTCACTGAGTGACAGGCCAGGGACAGTGATGCTGAGGAGAGTAAGGTCCACTTCAAACCTCACTCACTGCAGGGGACGAGACCCATCGGACTCAAGTGACTTGAATGAAATATGAGGGGTGCCTCAAGGCCCCCACTGCAGAAAGCAGAAAGGAGACCTTGCAGAAAGGTGCACAGGGAAAGTGACATTCTGCTTAGGTTGGGTTTTCCCCAGAGAGCAAAGAGTTTATTTGGGAAGTGCAGGCAACTCCAGAAGGAAGTTGGGAAGTAAAACAGGAAACGGAAAGTGCCAACAAAAGGTACATTATGAAGTATGTTCCCCTAGGAGTGACTGGAGCTCAGAATCACTAGACACCTCCAGGGAACAGTGTAAGTCATAGTCCGTTATCCCCTTCCTTGAAGACATAAGGTTGTGTGGGGTATTGAGTATTCATTCCCCAGCATTCATTCCAGCTTGCCTGGCTCTGGCAAAAAGACCTTCCCGGCTTTGGGGAAAGCTCCCAGGGCAACAAGATGCAGATACTGGATTTTGGAAGCCCTAGTTGGGCACCCTCAGTTAAGGCTTGAGGGATTAAGCATTTGCTACCTATTTGAATGGCTTTGTGAACAACTGTTTCATGAAGCAAAGGGTAGAAGTGAGAGTGGTGTCCAAGCAGGTTGGTCAATTCTTCGGAAGGCACAATGGCACAGAAGTGCACTATGGAGAGCCTTCTGGGAGGCCTGGAGTGACCTTGGCAGTGGCAGTGACCTTGAACACTCACCCGTGTTGACTTTCCTACTCCTCCTTTTTTTTGAGAATCATACTCTGAAAGTTTAGCAAATGTGTTCCTTTTCCAGCTAGAATTTCTGAGGTTTTCTTCAAATTCCAGAACTAAGATTCTAAAGTCTTCACAACTTCTGGAAAAGCAGGTCCTTATCCTTTGTAACCTATGGGCTTTCAATAATTCATTGGGGATCTCTTCCATTTCTGCCCAAATTCCCAGTATAGTTAGGGTCACCATTCCTCTTTCTATGTTTGCTGATCTAACCCAGGGGTCAGGGAACTGTACTCCATGGCTAAATACAGCACACTGCCTATTCTGTAAATAGAGTGTTACTGGAACACAGCCACACTCATTTGCTTAAGAACTGTCTGTAGCTGCTTTTGCCCTACCAGGACAGAGTGGAATAATTGTGACACAGACTGTATGGCCCACAAATCCTGAGATAGTTACTTTCTTGTCCTTTGCAGAAGTTTCCTGACCCCTGATAACCCATGCCCCACAGGATCTAGGGCTCTGATATGCACAGTCATGATAAGGGAGACCAGACTGCAGAGGAAATCTGGGGATATGAGGTCTGTAGATAAGCTGCTAAATTTCCAGGTTAGTTCTACCTTGACCCGGATGCAGTTCAAAGCAAACAAAATAGGGTTAGATTAGTAGTCCAATGTGCTCTCTAATGAGGAATGTAAACAGCATTACCAAGCAAGCATGCTGGCAGCAGAATGCTGTAGATGCTGTATTCCAAAGCAGACTATAGGCAGAATTAACACAGGAATTGTAAAACCAGCTTTTGTGACTCTTTAGACTCCCTCACCTATACTGGGAACAAACATATTGGGTTGCTGAAAATTAGGGAGATAGATGAAAAGGGGTTTTCCATAAAAGGCTGCAGATGCTTGTACCCTGGATGGGAAGAAGGGTGGCATGGTGGGTGCTTGTCTTAAGCCCAGAAAGAGTGAAGCCAATGAGACCACCTGGGAGCTTGCAATGAACCACTCTGATTAGAGGGGCTCCATGCACTAGGAACTGACTCTCACCCAGAAGATCAAGAGACAAGAGACAGGTAGGCTAGCGGCATTGGGGGTAGAGTGGAGGAAAACTGCCACTACCTTGGGATGGGTCTACTCTTTCAAAGTTGATTTTGGCAAATCAGGGGAAAAAAAGGTGGGATTCTTCTCCATGGACCAGATGAGCTAACTGGATGATTCCTGATCTTGGCCAAGACAACTACCTGGATGGAGTTTGTCTGTGGGAAGATGTGTGTGTTCAGTGGACTGCCAAGACAACAGGGGATACTGGGACGTGTCAACCAGGGGAAATGCATTTCTTTAAATCACAGGAGTTATTCTGAATATTCCCAAGGTTGTCTCCAGTCACTCCACAAAAGCAGCCTAGGAGAGAAAGAATCAACTTGTAAATACCTGGCAGTCCCAGAGGTGTGGCAGGGTGACATCATATTAGGATGTGGGCAGTCAAGGAAAAGCTTTTCTAACCAACTTTCCTGCCTTCCCAGTGCCCACTGTCCAGAGGACTGGAACTAGGGGAAGGAGTAGAAAGGCCAGGTAGGCAGGGAGATAAGTAGGATTGTGATGCACTCCTTTCTCCTGCAAGTGGTTCGTCTGTCAGCCAGCTGGGGGGAGGACGAGGTAAATGTCAAATCAAGTTGAGTCATGATCATCATATGGGGATCAGCTCTTTCTGAGCTGAACCTCAGTCTTTTGGTGACTTATGATCATAAGACTTCTTTGTACGTAAGCATAGTCACGACAGTCATAGGACTGGAATGCCCACATTTTCATTTGGGGCTTTAGCCTCTATTCAATTTAAAGGAATGTGAGACCCAACAGTAAAGATTCTTCCTGTTCATACCTCACAGATCCTACTGGTTCAACATACTGGTGGAAAGTCAAAGTCCCCAAATGCCAGCTCTCTGAGGTCCACATACACAGAGTTTCCGTGAACCCGCAAGACTGCCATACAGGACTTAAATGGGTCTTAGAGACTCAAATCTTGGCTGAAAAATAAGGAAAAGGGGGGAAAAGGTAATTAAATATGCATATAGATATAAATATAGATATGGATATGAGTATGGATGTGGATGTGGGCTTAAATATAGAAATATCTAATAATGCCTTCAAAATCCTATATAGGTAAATTCTCTCAGTTTTCAAAGGTAACATTTTCTGGCTAAGAACTAGTCTGTTGAGCACAGCCCTGTGCAGTCAGAAGGGCTGCTTCTCATCATCTAGGATTTCTGAGCTGGCAAAGCCTCTCAATCTTAAATAGGACAGGATTCTTCTTGGCTCAGCTTGAG